TACACATACTATCGAAAACCCTTGCCAATAAAAGTTTTTTCCCAGTACCTAAAAACACCAAACCCCGAAAAAACCGACACAAAACCACCCCGGAAAGTGAACCCGCAGGGAGGTTTAAGGGTTTAGGGTTTAGGGGTTTAGGGGGGTTTAGGGGTTTAGGGGTTTAGGGTTCACGGGTTTAGGGGTTTAGGGTAATTTAGAGTCTAGGGGTTTAGGGTCTAGGTTGGACATGTGGGCTCCCGGCCGTAAGACGTGATGTTCCTGCCCGTGAACACTATACTGTGAGAGGAGGCTGCTCTGGTGTAGCAAAGTATTATGTGCGCCGTTGTCTCTACACTACACGTCGTGACATTGCCAGTAACCCCTAAACCCTAATCCCTAAACCCTAATCCCTAACACCCTAAAGCCCTAAACTGTTAAGTTTAGGCTTTGGGGTTTGGGGTTGTCGGGATTCAGGCTCCTAAAGCCCTTCTTTTGAACCCTAAAAGCCCAAAACCCCAAAACCCTAAACTCTAAACCCTAACCCCCTAAACCCAGAACCCCAAAACCCTGAACCCTAAACCCTAAAGCCCTAAACCCAAAACACCAAAACCCTGAACCCTAAAGCCCTTTTTTTGGAGCCCTCAATCCCTGAACTCTAAAACCCTAAAACCCTAAAGCCCTAAACCGTTAAGTAGCCCTAAAGCCCTTTTTTTGAACCCCCAAAACCCTGAACTCTAAAACCCCCAAAACCCCAAAGCCCTAAACCCCTAACCCCCTAAACCCTAAACCCTAAAGCCCTAAAACCCTAACCCCCTAAAGCCCCTAGCGGGCGCCCCGAGCTCGGCTCGGAGGCCCAGCTCCCGGTGCTCGGAATCCTCCGCCTGGACCGCAAAGTACCCGGCCCGACGCCTCCGCGGAAAGCAGCGGGTTTTGGGGTTTTTAGGGCTCTTAGGGTTTTTAGGGCTTTGGGGTTTTTAGGGTTTTAGGGTTGTAGGGCTTTAGGGTTTTAGGGTTTTAGGGTTTTAGGGTTTTAGGGTTTAGGGTTTTAGGGCTTCAGTGTTTTAGGGTTTAGGGTTTTAGGGTTTAGGGTTGTGTGTGTGTGTCTTTCTTTTTTATTGCTGGGGAGGGGGGGTTTGAGGCTTTGGGGTATTTTGTGTTTTTTTTTGGCTTTGGGTTTTTGGGGGCTCCTGCACACAAACGCCCTGAAAGACCGGGTTTGGGGCCTAAGGTTTTGAACAGGAGAGTTTCTAAAGGGTTCAGAGTCCCTCAAGGTAGCTCCTAGAGGTGTTGAAGCTTGATGTCCTCGTTGTTAAGGGCCTGCATGGAACCCTTCTCCCCTTTCAAGCCCTCAAGCCCTTCAAATCCGCCAAGCACCCCAAAGGCCCCACACCCTCAAATCCCAATGGGGTAGTTCTCTAAATTAGGGTCCCTTTTTGGTCCAAAATATAGTACGGCACCCTTATAAAAAAAAAGGCACCCTGAAGGGCACCCTAATTTACGTAGAGAACTGCCCAATTGTAGCTTTACAAGATACCCCTAAAGCCCTCACGCCTTTAACTTAGGCTTGTAAAGCAAACCTTAAAACCCCCTAGACCGTAAACCCTCCTCCGAGTGGAAGCGCTGAAGCCCTAAACCTTAAACCCTAAACCCTAAACCCGAAAGCCAAAGCGCCCGAAGTCCCGGGCAACATCGGAGGATTCCGGGAAGCTTCGATCACCCGGGCAGCTTCGACTACGAGGAGCGTTTTTGTTTTTTGGGGGGAGGGGTTTCGGGGGGTTCGGACACGTCGAGGCGCTGCGCCGGATTTCTTGGGGGTTTCAGGATCTTGGGCTTAGTAGGGTTTAGGGAGTGGAGGGGTAAAGTTTAGGGTTTAGGGGTCTAGAGTTTTGTTTAGGGTTCCAGGGCCTGTGGGTTTTAGGCTTTCCGGGCTTTCGGGGCGTTCGGGGATCTCTTGGGAGTTGCGGGCTTGAAGGAGTTCTTGCGGAGTTGTTGGAATCCGGGGTCAAGTCTTGCAGGCAAAGCAGCAGGTGCGGAGTTTGGGGTTTTGGTTTCGGAGTGGTTTCGATTATTTTATTTTTTTTTTTTTTGGCGGGGGGGCGGGTGAGGTTCAAGCTTTTAGGGGAAAGGGAGTGAGGCTTTAGGTTGTTGTTCTTGTTGTTGGGGCGTGATTCGGGTTCAAGTCTTCGGGTACAGTATAGGACCACAGGAGTTGCAGTTTCGGGCCTTTCCATTGGATCTTGTTGCATCTTGGAGGACTTCTGCCAGCTTCGGGGTTTCCTAAACCCTAAACCCCCAACCCTAAACCCTAAACCCTAGTACTGTAGTGGGCACACTAGAAGTTTGTGGGCGCTTTTGATGTTTTCCCTGCACAGATAGGACATAAAACCATATTCGTTGCCTTTTTAGAGGGCGGAAAGTTTGGCCCCTCTTGAGAAGCTATGCTCGATCACCCCGACCGGCCGCGAAAGTCCTCACGGCCAGCCCAAAGCCTCGAAGTTTAGGGTTTCGTCTTGACGAAACAGATGCTCGTAGCTGCATACCCCAGTATGTACAGTCTTTCCAGCTGGGAAGTCCCTGCCCTCGAGTTTCTTGCCGGCATACAATCCAAGCCCGTGCTCAAAAAGGGTTTGGGGCTTAGGGTTTGGGGTTTGGGGTTTAGGGTTTGGGTTTAGGGTTTAGGTTTTCGGGTTTGGGGTTTAGGGTTTGGGGTTTAGGCTCGTCTTGCGCATCTCGCCACGAGTGCGATGTGCTGCGAGGGGCTTGGCCGGGTGAGCTCAGTTCAAGCCTGTGGAAAAGGCTCGTAAGATAGTGAATGCTTGGCCTTGCGCATCTCGCCACGAGAATAATGTGCTTGCAGGGAATCTGGCCGGGCGAGCACTACTCACGCCTGTGGTAAAAAAGGGATCGGGTTTAAAGACTTGGCTCATTTGTCAGCCCGCAGCCAAGCCCGAAGACACCCCCCCCCCCTTCAACTCCCTAAACCCAAAACTGTAAGCCTCCAGCCCAAAAAACCGAAGATCCCCAAAACCTAAACCTTACGGCCCTGAGCTCTAAAAGACCCTCATAAAAGGCTTTATCAGACCCTAAGCTCTAAAGCTCCCCCCCCCTCAAACCTGAACCCCTCTAGGGTTTAGGGTTTAGGGGTTTAGAGTTTAGGGGTTTAGGGCTTGGGGTTTCGGGTTTAGGAACCCGAACCTCCCAAATCCCTCAAGTTCGGCAGCAGGTGAAACATCGCGTCGTGGCCGGGCTCACGCCGGAGAAGTGCCAGTCGGGGGAGCCTCTCACAGGGGACTTGGAGGCCCGGGTTTAGGGTTTAGGGTTTAGGGGTTAGGGGTGAGGGTTTAGGGTTTAGGGTTTAGGGTCCGCCCTTCAGGGTTTAGGGTCCGTCCTTCCTTTGAGGAGGTCGTAGATTTTGTTCAGGGGTTTGTGTAAGGGAAGATGCAATTCGGGGTCATTGTGTAGTGCTTTTTCTTGGGGGGTGGATGTAGGGTTAAGAAAGAGGTTATATATGTGGGGTTTATATACAGGGGTTTAGGGCTTTAGGGATGGATGGTTGGGGGCTTGGGGTTTGGAGTGGTTGTTCTTCGCAGGGGATGTGCGTTAAGGCTTTATAGGGGTTTTTTCGAGGCCTGTTGCTTGGAGGTTCAGGATCTTAGTGTCTACGGTGTTGGTGCTTTACGGTCGGGGGGGCGGGGGTTGTTGGGTTCGGGGTTTAGGGGTTCAAAAATTGTGGGGTTTGGGCTTTTGGAGGCAAGGGTAAAACAGGAGGGCTTCCCGATCCTATCTTTACAGGATCCTTTTTGTGATGGGCCCTTAAAGGGCCGAAGGCATGTAAGGGTTTCCGAAAATAGGGGACCCTAATTATAGTACCCTACATAATAGTAGGATCCTTAGTATCAGGACCCTAGAATAAGGTACCCCCAGTTTCCGGAAACACCTAAACCCTAAGCCCTTATAGGGGCGAAGGGCATGGTTATGGTCTTCTCTTCGTCTTCTTGTCAGGGTCTTTCGGCCTTCGCACCAGGGCCTCCAACAGGATCGTCCCTTGGGCCCTGGCCCCGGGTGCATACGTTTGGGATTCTGGACCCTGAGACTCCAAAACCCCTTAATTACGGAATATATCTCAAATTACACTGGGAACCCTAATCAGATTTAAAGTATATTCCTTAATTAAGGGGTTTTGGAGTCTCTGAGGATGTGAGCTTAGGGAGATGAAGCTGTAGGACGGGAGGGTTCGATGTGGGGAGTTCTGGCTAGATTAAGGTCCTTTTTGTTAGGGTCCTTTTGATAAGGGTGCCGTACTGTTTTGGGGGCCCTAATTTAGAGAACTACCCATGTCGATGTTCTCCCTGACCTGAATCAGGGTCTGGCAGGGATCCGCAGAAAACTCAACGCGGTTGAGGAAATCAGGCGTTTACCAAGAAGGTGTTACATCGATTTTGGGAAGCTTGAAGCATCTATTGCCCATACTCTAAGTCCGTCTTGTGGACTCGCTTCGAACGTTGCAAGGTCACGAACCTAGTTCACATGATAGGATTATACCTTGTGTCATCATAGTGTCCTATCATTGCTGAGCCTTGAACTAATCACCTTAACAAGAAGACATATTGGGTATAGACCCACATACAGCCCGTTAACATGCGTTTCTCTCAGGCCGCCTTCCGCAAGGGAATCACCGATCTCCATGGGAAGGGCGCCTGCGTCATCACCGGGGATGCTTGGTCCGGGGATTAGGTCTGTGTTAGGGCGCTCAGGGGTTTAGGGTTCGGAAATAGGGCTTGTGGCTTTGTAGGATTTGAGTTGGGTTTGGGGTAATCATAAGTTTCAAGGTGGTGAGGCTTAGGCTTCAGAGCTTAAATAGAGTTGAGAGTGTAAGCTTCTCAGGGTTTTTTGTGGGCTTGTCGTATTTTCTTCTGAGGGCTTTAGTCCTTTTTGTGGCATGTATTTAGGACCCTATAAGGTAATCCCAACAAGGAACTGCCTCGGGGTAGTTAGGGCCAAGTCAGGCGCTGTTTCGCGGTAGGAGGGGCTTTCAGCGATGTGCACGTTGACGGGCAAGATCCTGAGGGTTTAGAAACTACGGTTGGTGACATACATTCTGCATGACCCATGATAAGGAATAGACCATAGTTCCCATAGTTTAGGGTCCTTAATAAGGTATGACTATACGGTTTAGGGGTGTAGGGCTTAGAGGGGTGTGCCTTGACGATAAGACTGAAGCTAGAGCGGTGATGCGCATCGCAACGTTTCACATAAGCTTTCAGTCCTTAGGCAGTTACTTAAATGGTAGGCTGCTGGCAGTTTGTAGCCGTTAGTAGGTGCATCTATGATGTAGTCCAGAAAGTCTGGGGTTTGTGGGTTGAGACCAGAGATAGCTTGTGACAAAAAGCACATCGGCCAGGAATCTCTGACCAAGCTCCGAGTAAGTAGGAGCCACTTGAGCTACCGACAGTCAGCATTATGGATACCGGCGCCCCATTACGGAAGCACATAGGATTCTACAAAGAGATCATCTGAAAGCCATGGAGGAACCATGCCCGGCGACTTGAATAGTTACATTGGCGGCAGCTCCGGTCAATTTCCGAAAGTCCCGGGAAGATTGCGGCAGTGTTTGTACCCTAAACCCTGAACCCTAAACCCTAAACCCGAGCTAAGCACCCGAGCCAGCATTCCCCAGCCGTCAACGGGAAGCCAGCCTCCCGGACAAAGGCTAAACCCGGAACACTTGGGTGGCTCTCGAAATCAGGGCCCCTTTCTAGGTACCAGAAACATCAAGGAACATAGTACGGCACCCTTATGAAAGGGATCCTATACTTTATAGAGCCACCCGCTTGCAAGCCACAGCCAGGACACTGGCTTCATGATGTGGTATCAGGCCATGGCTCGTGAGAGCACCAAGCTGCCGGTGACTTCCTCATATTAGGCATCCTTCTTTCATTTTTTCGGTTTTTGAACTTTAACTGTTTATGGTTTGGGTTTCCCGATAGTTTTTAACTTTTTGAAATAGCGTTGACTTTCCTTCCTGTTGAGGTGATTCGCGGGGATGCCATCTGGGGCGGTTACCAGAGAGGGTTCTTACCACGTAGCTTTTCGGTCCATCCAAAACACCGGGGGACCCAGGTGATCCTGTCCTCCCTGGCCAGTCTGCCCACCATCACCTGCTCCTACAGCAAGTCGACTGAGATTTTAGGAGGGCAGCTTTGGAGCCTGATACCTACACTATTCTTCTAGAAAGCGAGGGCTTTTTCGGTTAGGGGTTTACAGGGGGTTTTGTATACAGGGCTGTGTAGGGTGGATCTTAGTCTGGGATGCCATGCCAAGCAAAGCCTCAATCCTTGGATTGAACGCTTAACCTAAAGCCCAACTCTGCAATCTCCCCTTGAGACTTGAGGCGCAAAGCCAAGACCCTGAGCCCTAAAACCCACAGGGCTTCGGCCCGGGCTTTCGTTTTGTTTTTTTTACTCTGCCAGAAGAAGCCGTTACAGGCCTCAGGGCCGCAGCCTCTCAGGTACTCCCAGGTCGTAGTAGGGAGATCCCCTTGAAGGGGACCCTTCGTAACCCTACTTATGGCTCTCTTAAAGTGGACCCTATTGACAGGGTCTATCTCCCCCCTAATCCTCCCTAAACCCTAAAGCCGACTCGCGGGACTCCGGGTATACAAGGTAGACTTGGGGCCCCGTTTCTGAGACGTGGAAGTTTTGGTTGAAGCAGCCGTCCCCCTCTAGCTTGTAATAAGCTTTTGGAAGGCCTTTGTACGACCGTAGTTATAAATAGTCTGTTTAGCTGCTTGGTGACTGCTCCTCCGAACGGGGTCATGCACTGGGCTAGTTCGGGATAGTTTCGGGGGGTCGCCAGACGGTTGTGCGCCTAGTGAGTCCTGCGCTCTGTATTCTCGGCTTCCTTTAGCCTATGCGGTCCTTCTCAGCTGAGAGTGCGGAGGTCCCGGGACTTGCTCACGCTGTTCAGTTCAGTCTTGGAGTGGAGTTTCCCTGCAGTGTGACCTAGTCAGCGAAGCGGGTGGGAAAAAAAACCCTAAACCCTAGACCCTAAACCCTAAACCTCGGGAAAACCTAGGTAAGGAGGAGCAGGTGGCGATTTTCACCACCAGTGTGAAGACGCTGGAGAGGATGGAGGGACTCCTACGGGCTGAATGTGGCGTGAGCATCCATGACACGCGAACCTCGGTGCCAGCTTTGGCTTATAGGGTTTAGGGTTTAAGTTTTGGGGTTTAGGGTTTAGGGTTTAGGATTCAGGGTTTAGGGTTTAGTTTAGGGTTCAGGGTTTAGCTTGTCAATGTTTCCCTAATTATTGCATGGTGCAATAGAGGTAGCTGTGATATATCCTCTTGGGGTGGTGACCTTATCAGCAAGTGCAGGCTACGTTTTCGTGGGCATTGACGAGATACCCGGGTTTGAGTCCATTGCGCTTGGGCAACATGCAGCTGAGCTTGATTTCACGACCACGCCAACCCCCGAACCCCCAAAACCCTATGCCCAAAGCCCTGCTTAACCCAAAGCCCTAAAGCCCAGAAGGTGTCAGGTTTTAGGGTTCAGGGATTCCAAATCCGACCCAGCCGGTCAGGTTTAGGTGTTGATGAACCGTTATGATCTTAGGCGAAGGAAGGGCCAAAAAAATCCAGGCACTAGGCTAAGCAAAAGTTGAATCCAAAGCAGGCAGAATCGCGGACCATGGAGGCCGGCCTCTGCCAGAAGGCCGCGGAAGTGCTGGAGCAGCACCCGAAGGCAGGCCCAACGCTTGTGTGAGCAATCAGCTGGGGGGTTCCCGAAAATGGGGGACCCTGATATAGTACTCTAAATAGTAGGATCCTTATTATAAGGAGTCCCAAAGTAAGGTACCCCTTATTTTCGGAAACTCCCATCTGGGGGTCGGAACACTCACTACATACCCCTTAGTAACCACACTGTCCTATACCCCCATACCGATACCCTACTCTAATGCTTAAGGCCCTGAAATTTTGGGGCACCGCGTTCGTTGTGACGTATGGACGGTTAAGGGTTTAGGGGCTAGGATGATCAACCCTAAACCCTAAACAGGCGAGGAGTGGAGTGTTGCCTGCTGTCTGCGAGAGTGAGAGTCGAAACAGGCCAAAGAGTGCCTAAAGAGCGTAAGATGCGGGGCCAATGGATGGCAGCTTCCAACCCTTCGATTCTCCAAGCTTGCCAAGACATCCACAAGGACAGAAGCCCAGAGGACCTCAATGCCGGACTAGAGCCCTATAGGGTTTAGGGTTAAGGATTTAGGGTTGAGGGTTTAGGGTAAAGGGTTTAGGGTATTGACCCGGAAGACAACCTTAAGCCCCAAACCTTCCGACCTTGCAGACAAGAAGCGCTAGACAGAAGACGGCCCCGGATTCCTTCAGAGGTTCGATAGAACCCTGATAGTAATCTGTATAGTCTAGTAACCCTCATGGAACCAAGTCCGATAATAATCCGCATAGTCTAGAAACCCTCATGGAACCAACCCTGATAGTAATCCGTATAGTCTAGAGTCTAGCAACCCTCATGGAACCCCCACAGCGACTCTTCTAGAAGCCCTCAGAGGTGCGTGCGTTCTTGCTGGAGTGCAACGAGCTCCCCCGCTACGCCGATGCACTCCGAAGAGCCACCGGAAGGAGACAAGGGGTTTCGGGTTTTAGGGGGGTTTGGGCAAGGGTTGGGGGTCTCGGGTTCTAGGGTTTGGGCACGTGTTGGATAATGACAGAGTGACAATGAAGGTGGTGGTAATGATGATCATGCAGCAACGCCGTAGGCCCGTTTTCGATGCCATGAAGCTCTGCGACTTCTACATCGACAGCCTTTTGGATAATCCGCGGCCACCCGGCGTGCCCTCGTTGTGAGAGTAGAGTTCGGGCTTCTGGGGTTTAAGTGTACAAGGTCGAAGGTTGAGGAGTGCCACAGTTGCCTTGGGCACAGTGCGTCGCTGCACCCGCAACCTTAGAGGCATCGTGTTAGTAAGCTGAGTGTTGAGTGTCATAGCTTTCAGCCATCAGGATGTGACCGATTATCAAGTCGATTATAAGTCTCGGGCCACAAGGCTATATACTTTGCAACTTAAACCGCAAGACTGTCATGCACCCGAAGCCCGAAACCCCTAAACCCACAATCTGAACCCTGAGCCGGAAATCTCGGGGAAGGTTTGGAATCAAAGACTGGGACGACGCGCTGAACAAGAAGAGCGCTCCCTGGTCGCACTAAGATCGGGGCTTGGGGTTGACGGTGGAACCATTAGTAGAAGTAACACTGCTATGTTCCCGAATCATTAAAGCTGAATGGTTAAAGTTAAGGATGTATATTACAATATATTGTAACACAAAACCCCGGTTTATGACTATGAAGACGTTCTGTTCAACCCAAGTGTGGAGTCCTGTTTTTTTGGATGGCTTGGGGTGCAGGGTTCAGCATGCTCGATGAATAGAATTGGTTTGCAGACCCCTTAGAGGCAGCAATCGGACCGTTCACGATTATATACCCCAAATCCCCAAAGCCCCAACACCCTTTAAACCCTAAACCCCGAATCCCAACTCCCTGTATCAACGCGGAGTTTTTTTGGGTGAGGCCGAGTTCGATTTCGGCCAGTCGCTGTCTGCGGCCACACAGCTCCTTGCTCGTGCTTTGTAGCTGAGGGGTTCAAAGGTTTAGGGCCTTAGGGTTTAGG